GCATTTCCCCTTCCCAAGTGGGCACTTCCCAAGTGCAAGGGCAATGTTTAACCATAAGGAACAAATCAGCAACTCTTGAAGTGGGACAGACCGTCAGGTTACTGTGGCCTAACCTTCCAGAGCCAGCGGTTTTGTCAGACCAGGCTTAGAAGGTCCCCTGAGTGGAAGCTTCCTCCCTCTCTGGATACATCTAACTGCTCAGAAGTCCATTTTCCCATGCACCCTGCACCCCCCTGCCAGGTCTCCCAACCCAGGGCCCCAGTCAGGTCTGAGGGCTCCCTGCAGACCCCAATACTGACTCTGGGTTCCCATTTCTTTAGCAGATGGTGGCTTTCATACCTTTCTTCTGGGCCAGGGCTCACGATGCCCATTGGGCATCAGTCCTACAAGAGGGTCCCAGAGCCCAGGCTGCATCTGAGACAAGAGCAGCAACTCTGGGGCCAGGCTTGATCCTGGCTAAGGGACATGGCTCCCAGCATGGCCAGCCAGCTTTGGATTCCCCAGGCTGCTGACAGGCTAGACCCTCAGTATGGCCCCTTGGTGGGATTGGCTGAGCTCCGGGGATGAGGGGGCGCTGGGCAGGGAGCCCACTGTCTCCTCCTCATTACTTCCCTTCCTCCTCATCCCAGGAGCCTCCATGCCGGCCAACTGTACTAAAACTCCGGAAAACCATGGCGGGGAGGTTTTCCAATTAGAACATTCTTTTTCCGATCTGTGGATGATTCTTAAAGCAGCAAAAAGCCATTCTTCAGGGCATGTGGGGATTATCTGCCAGCGGGTCCTTGGCTCAGCCTGTGCACTTGTCCTGTGCAGGTTTGGCCTAGGGCTGCTTCACAGCCAAAGACAAAAGGCAGTCTGCATTCTCGGGCATTGGGTCACACAGGCCAAGACTGATGGTGGGCTTATTCGAAGCAACGGATTCAAAAGGCAGCGGGGAGTTCAGGCTGCAGGGATGGGAGACATCCCAGTGGCCAGGGAGGCCTGCCTGCATGACCTTTCTGCTCCTGGTGGAGCCACTGTGCGCAGAGCATGGATTCTTCCCCTTGGAGCTGAACTGGTCTGCCTTCCCCACCAGACTAGGTGCTGCTCCAAGCCAAGACTGGGGGTGGCAGTGTGGTGAGAGAAAGAGTCCCAAAGGGAGCATTTAGTATGACTGACAGTATGCATGTGTGGAAGGGAGAGGGACCAGACCCTTAGCCAGAAGTGCAGGCTGAGGGTGGGGAAAGCGGGGGGCTCTTACTCCATGTGCTATCCCTGCACGTTCAGGTCTCTGTATGGGCCACTGTGGCTACGGTCACATGTGGGGACCCCTGCCTCCAGGGGTCCCACCCTCCTTGGAGCCAGCAGAGCCACCCAGCAAGTGGAAACTGGTTGAAAATCTTAGATGGATGAGACAGCAGGGCGGGCCCTGGGAGGGAGGGAAGGAGGGGATTAGGGTGCGAACAGGAGCCCAGCCCTCCCCACACATGAACCTGGGCACCCAGGCTGGGTGGGGCCTCCATTCGGAACAACCGGAGCCCTGATTTTAGCCTCAGCTGTGCCTTAGACTGGCTGTGTAGCCCCAACTTGATGCCATCCCTCTCTGGACCTGTTTCCTAATTTGCACAATGGCAGAGTTTGGGTCAGTTGTTTGTCTCCAGTTCCTTCTGGTGTGGAACATTCTGTCTGGGTTGGCTTTGAGGCCTGACAGCTTTCAGAGCCCCGCCCATCATCCCCCTCCCTAGCCTGGGAATGTTTCAGCTAGACTGGCATGCAAGTTTTGTTCCCAGCCCTGAAGATCAGAGGGGTCTTCCTGGAGCTTAGGAGCCCTGCTGGCAAGTTCTTTCCAAAAAGCTACCTATCCCTGTACACATCTGCTTGCTTCAACCTGGCCTCCCAAGGAATCTGTCTCCATTGTATGCTCATGGGCTGTAGCCTCACTTGGCATAGGGGACCTCTCCACTCCTGCCTCTGCCTTCCAGACCTCTTGCTTAACCAGGCAGCCCAGCCTGGCTTCCCTACTCAGAGGCAGAACCTGTACCCTCGGAGGAGAGCCTTGCTGAGGGCCTGCTTCTCAGTGAGGAGGCTGCCTGAGCTGTGGGCTTCAGGAGGACTCTGCCAGAGCCTGGCCATCCTTGGAGCTGGAGATAGGGGCCAAGGGACAAGAAGAGCTGGGAGCAGAGAGGGATGGGGCCAAGCTCAGGCCAGGCAAGGACAGAACCAGGCTGGGGGCAGCCAGCGACCACCAGGGTCTTGGCCCTCAAGTTCTAGGCCAAGAGGAAGTTTATGAAGGAGTCAATGTTGTAGCCGAAAGTGGGTATAAAGTCATCACCAAGTGAACATCTTGTGCATGGGCCTGGTGGTATGAGATAGAGCAGTTGGAATGTCTGGGTCCAGGTACCTGAGGGCAAGGAGTCAAAGAAGAGGCTGATAAATTTGGCAGGGGCCCTGAAGCCTGGATAAGGTGGCTGGGGGTGGCCCTGGCAGGGGTGGGGGCATTCTGCTGTGGCAGTGAACAGGTGGGCAAGGCAGGGCAGAGTAGGGCAGGGCAGTTACTGTTCAAGTTAAACCTGTTTGCAAGCAAGATCAGCACAGGGCCTGGCAGAGAGGGAGGAGTTGAGGAAGGCCTGGTCCCTTTGGCTGGTGCTGTTGTGGCAGATCTGGCCTGGACAGGGCTGAATCACCTGGGATGTGGGAAGAGCTCAAGACCCTGGAACAGCCCAGCTGATGGGCCCCCTTGCTGACTGGCCATTGATGGCTTTGGACACTATTCTTGCTTGTGCTCTCTAGCTGGCCCACCCAGACTTAGGGCTCTGGAGTGAGCTTGCTCATTCCCAGTGGTGGACTTGGGAGGGAAGGGCCACCTTCTTCCTCACCCCTACATCAAATCCATCACTGTGTCCTCTACATTCTCTCTTTAAGCTAAGGACTCTTGAAGGGGAAGGGAGCCCAGAGAAGGGATGTGACACACCTTAGGTCCTATAGTAAGTATGTTTAGGGCCTGGGATGCCAAGCCAAATATATCCACAGCTACCAGCAATCCAACATGGTGGGGGGGGGGGGAAGGCAGGAAGGAGTTTGATGTTGGCCACCAAACTGGAAGCAGAAAATGCTTGTTGGCAAGAGACAGAGATGAACTGAAGTGACTTTATATACAATCCCCTCACCTTTCCCCCCACACATATTCATGCAGACACAGGATCACCTCCTCCCTACCTGATAAAGCCCAGAAAGTAAAGGATGAGGACAGCTTCCAGAATCTCAATCACCCTTCAATCTTCTCTGCATATCCCCTCTGACACCCTGTGGTGGACTCGATGTCCGAGTGATGACTCAGACAGGGCCCTCCCCTCCTGGAGCTCACCATCTAGAACAAGAAAAGGTTGTGGCCACTGTGCTTGATGGATGTAATCAGAAGAAAGTAGGGGAGCACACAGAAGGAAGTAATAACGTAACTGAGTGGCCTGTGCAGTCAGAGGATATACAGGACACTTGAGGGAAGTTTTGAAGAATGACCAAGTTCAATAGTTAGACAATGGGACAAAGGACATTCTAGGGAGTGTCAGTGCCAGAAGCAAATGTCCCAAGGAGACAGGACTTCTGATGCAGTCCAAAGGCAGAAGGAGGCAAGCGTGGCCAGAGTGTAGTGAATTCAAGAGGAGAGTGGCTGGACCTACAGAGAGCTCAGTAAGGCAGAATCCTTGGGCCTCTTAAAGAGTTTGGCTTTTATCCTGGGAGCAATGGGAAGTCATCAAAGAGCTGCAATCAGGGAGCAACGTGTAACGATTAAGGAGACTTCTGTGTAAAGACTACATAAGAAGGAAGGCAACACCAACGGCAGGGAGACCAACAAGGGTGGTAGCAGTGGGGTGGAGAAAAATGGATGGATTAGAGGGCCATTTGGGACATAGACTTGGCAGGGCTGAATGAGGGAGAACCTGTTAGTCCATCCTTTTGATCCTGTCATTCTGATAGGGCAACTCTGACCAACTCTGCTGTCTTTTAGACTGCCTTAACTATCCCTTGCTTGGGAGGCTTCCCAGGCCCTCTGCCCCCAACACACACAGAGGTAGGGTTAGGAGCTGCTTTTGATGTGCCAGCCATCCTAGCACTCATTAAACCTGACTGAATGACACACATGCTCAAAAAGCACAAATGGATGACACTGATCAAACTGCACTAGCCCTTGGTGTTTGGATGTGTCTCCCTGCCCAGCCCGTGAAGTGGTCCTGCTTGCTGACAGGGTGCTTGCTGCTGCTGCTATGCCTTGAGAACCCCAAATCCACTGAGGATGGCCTTCTAGGATGAGAACTTCCCCGGTGCGGCCTCACTTTCTTCTTCCCAGCCTCTGGGACTTCCTGCATGATCTCAGCCGCCAGCAACCCCCCACCCCCCACCCCGCGCCCCTCTCCCCGCCCCTGTCTGGGATCTCCATCTGTAAAATGGATCTAGGAACAGTAGTTCTCGGTAGAATTAACCCGCAGCATCTGTGGAAGTCATTGGCCTCAAGCAGGGGCCAGATCGCTTAGGGAGCGGGCAGGGGTGCAACCAGGCAGCCGGGGCACTTCACGTGGCGGACGCCTCCCAGCCTGGGGCCGCGAGCCTGGAGGAATTTGCCTGGAAGTTTTCCACCGTGGCAGAGCCTTTTGGAGCTCGCTCCGGACTCGGTGCGGGGAGCCCGGGCCCTGATTTCTCCAGCAGCCCCGCAGGGCGGTGCCGGGAAGGGGCGGGCGGGCCAGGACACTGGCGGGAGAATGTGCGGAATGTGCCAGGCCCATCTACCTACCCCAGGAGAGGGCAGAGGAAAGGGGCTGGCCTAGGGGAGGGGCGAGGGGCGAGGCTCCGGGCGCCGGAGAAAACCTGTTTGTTCTCCTGCGGGCGGAGCCCAGTCCGCGCCTCCTCGTCGTCCTGCAAGTTGCCCGCCGCGCCCAGCGCCCCGCGCCCCGCGCCCCGCGCCCCGCGCCTGCCGCCTGGCCCGGCCCGGCCGAGGGAGCCCGAGCTCCGCCTCCGCTCGACCCTCCGCCCGCCACGCGAGCCGGGCACCTGTGCCAGGTAGGGCTGTCGAGTCGCCGTCGGCGCGGCCGGCAGAGAGGCGGCAGGGGACACCGGCCGGTGACAGGGACAACTCCAGGCCTCACTTTCCCCATCCATAATCTTCACCCGCTCCCGCATACCTTCTGAGATTTTGCTGGGGAGGCAGTGCACCTGGTTTTCTGTTTTTCATTGTGAGCAAAGAGACTGACAGGCAAAGAAGACTGGCCTGGTTCCTCTGTCCTCGCTTTTTCTGTAGGAGAGGGTTTGACTGCTAGTACATGGCCTGGGTCCACGATATATCTGAGAGTTTATTGTAGGCCTAAGAATTAGGGAATCTGAGATCAGCTGGTTCACCCTGTGTCTATTTTAGAGATGAGAAAACTGAGACTCATAGTAGGGGGCTCACAGGCTACTTGTGAGGAGCGTGTGCTGGGCATCAGGCAGTCTCCTGGAGGGCCACGGGGAAGGTAACTGCTCAGACAGAAGGCGCCGAATCAAGTGTCACTGGGTGTTATCGATGGGATCTGCAGCCAGCGGACTCTGTGGCTGGATTGTTTTGATGGGGGCAGGGGGAGCCAAGAGTCTGTCCTCTTTGGAAAGACAGAGTGATACCTCACCTCAAAAGGAGACTGAAAGCTCAGCTTCTCCCTCTGTGCATCCTCCCTGCTACTTCCAAGCTGGGGTCATCTGGGCAGCTCCATCAGTCCAAGGAGGTAGCTCGCCAGGTCACCTGCCACCCAGGGCTGCTGGGGGCCCAGATGAGGCCTGGGTTTTGCAACATCCAAAGTGTGGTAGGAATTGTGTTCTCACTCAGCCATTTTTGCACTTAACCTTGGCATCGTGGAAGGCTGTGCAGCTGAGTCTCAGGACAACAATCTGTGAACCCTAGGAGAGAGCCTCTCATACCCAGCAGTGGTTGAAGTCTCTGGCAGCCAGACCCAGTCTTTCCTTGGTTTCATGGACCTTCAGATTTCTGATTTTGGTACCTGGCTGGGGACAGGGAGCAGGGCCCCATGGGTTGACAGGCCTGGACAGTGAGGTGGGTCTCTGGTTTCCCACTCCCTCCTCACCAGCTCACATAAAGGTGTGAAGGAAGGCTGGGAGGAGGGTGTGGTCCTACCTTCCCAGGGCCTTCACTGCTTCATCTGAAAAATCAGAGACAGCTCAGAGGCCCTGCTTGCCACTTAGGAGCAAGTGGCCAGGACATAGATGCCACTTGCCAGCTGGCCTTGGTGCTTGTGCTCTTTGCCTCATCACCTATGGGCCACCCCAAGATGGGCGAGGCATCATCTGCCCTACCCCCTCCTTCCATCAATTTCCAGCCCCAGCCCTTGTGCCTTCCTGGCTTGGCCTTCAGAAGCCCTGGACTGGCTGGGGGTTCCATACTCGGCTGTAGAGAACTGATGGAAGACATCCAGCACGTGCTCCACATTTGTTAATTTGAACCCTCTGGCCAGTCACAAGTCAGCGACAGAGGTGGCCAATGACCACATTGTATGCTGTGGCTCTGAGTGGCATAAGTACAAGGGGCTCCGGGTGCCTGGAGTAAGGGAGCAGTTCTGGCTGTGGGGATCAAGGAAGGCTTCCTAGAAGAGGAGGGCTTGGAAGCAGGAGGAGGAGCTCAGCAGCTACAAGGTCAAGGCCTTCACATCCTTCGGGACTGCTTGAGTCTGACCTTGTGCCCGAAACACCCAAATCAGTTCTTTCTAAGCTCCTATATGTTCCACCCAGATCTGAGCAGTGAGAATCTGGAAAGAACCTGTATGCAGACCTGCCCAGGGAGTGACAGTACAGTTGGAGAGCAGAGATGCCACTCGGAATGGAGCTGCCACCTGCATCAAAATTGTGCACCTCAGTTCCTTCTCAACTTGAGTCCAGACTCCAAGCAAGGCCTCCCACCGAAGGGCAGCGACCCCAGGGGCAGCCGTCACTTCACCTCAGCCTCCTTTAGCCTGCCCTGTGCTTCTTGTATTTCTGCCTAGTGTCCCTGTGGCCTCCTGAGATCTGGCAGGGCAGAGAATCCGGGACATCAGCAGCGGGCCCAGAACCTGGCCACCCTAAGCATTGTCACCCGGTCCCTGAACTTTCCTCAGTCGCATGCCAAGAAAGGTCCCCAATCTGCCTCAATACACTCTATAAGCTGAAAGGCCTCCTTCTCTCTTCCCTACTCAACCTCTGTGACTGACTTATCTCTTTGGTCTGGATCTTGCTTCAAGCTATTGCCTATTGGGTGCCAGCTTATGTGTAATACCAGCTTGCTTTCTGCTTACTGAGCCCTGAGGCTGCGCCCACTGTCAGGCCCTCATGGCATGGGACAGGACCATGGCGCAGGAAGAGGAGAGCTGCAGCGCACGTGGTGCACCTGGCCTTTGGGTTCTTAGAGTTGGCATCCATCGGGGACTCTTCATTCATTTCCTCTGTGCCCGCAGAGAGCTGGCTGGCTAATGCCAAGAAAAGGGCAACACAGCCAGGGGGCCCATGCACTTGAGAGTGATGCTCAAGAGAGGTTGGCATCATTGCTTCCGAGGGTCGGAGAGCTAGCAGAGAACTCATGAAGTACAGCGGGGAAGGGAATGGTGGGGCAGGGAGGTGCCTTTACAGCTTAGGGGTAAGAGAACAGCTGGGAGGTCAGGCTGAGTTCAAACCCCAGCTCAGCCACCATCTACTTCTGTAAACGTGAGCATGTCACACAGCTTTTGGAGGCCTGGGTTTTGTCACCTCTACAGAGGGGAGGTTGAAGCCAGGAAGATCTGCTACATAGCGGCAAGCAGCTGGCACCTGGCTCAGAGGCAGCGCTCTGTCAGGAATGTCGGTTGAGCCAGAACAACAGTGTCTTCCTCCAGGGCCCATGATGGCCAGGGGTGAGGTTGGGGCCAGGTTGGAAGATATGTAGGCTCCCCACTTGAAGACAAACAGTTGTTTAAAAATCACTGCTACTCTGCTGGTGATGCATATGGTATCAAACTTACACTTAAACGATTTGCCACAGAAAACTTAACTCTTAGGTCATTTCTGGATGCCTATTAAAATCTGATTTGCTTTCTTTTAAAAATGTTACTGTAACTTTTTATCTTGGATTAATCTAAAATTCACAGAAAAGTTGTAAGAATGATACAAAGAAGTCCCTTGAAACCTTATCTGGGTTGCCCACTGTTAATATTTCTGGTGGTTTTCTTCAGGAGGGGAAAGTTGATAGGGAGACACTTGTGTGACAGTAACCTTCCACTAGGGTTAAGAGGTGAGCAGGACTTTTGTCAGTTCATTTTTCCAAAGGGAAACTGCAACACAAAGAGGAACTCAGTCAACACTCATTTGAGCATGAAGAGTGGAACCAGGTTATCATATCTCACAGATACATACATATGTATTTGGTGAGTGTTTTCTGATCCCTTGCCTGTGTTGGGCACTGGGCTACAGGGAAGAGAAAGAACTGAGAAGAGCAGGGATAGGGAAGTGGAAGGGGCAGGCCTAGGTGGAGAAAGGACTGGAAAATGAAAAGACAAGAGGCCCTATAGGTGTCATTCTCACATTCTAATGTGGGGAACCAGGAATCTGCAGCTTAAGCACATGTCCGAGAAGGACCCAGAGACCACTTTCAGAAACACTGTCTATGTTTTTCCCGTGGGGCGTGTGCTCACTTCCCGTTTCGAGAAGGAGTGGAGAACTGGAGTTGCTGGTGGTGGCCACTGAGGTGGCTGTGGAGCTCTGTGGCCACAACCTGAGTAGAAGAGGAGAACTGGCCCCTGGGGCCGGTGGGGGGCAGTCCCCACACTGCTGCCGGTTGTTGAAGGTGGTCCCTGGCATTGGCCCCATCTGTGGGCACACCTCAGGCACTTGTCCAACCCCCTCAGTCTGGTACCTGTGATTGTTGGCTCAGAACGCCATTTTCTGAGGACTAGGTCAGCTATGGAACGAGGTTCAAGGATTCTAATCACAAGAATGAGTATCCCTGGTGAAAATATTCGTATCAGGCAGTACCAGGTTTGAACTGAAAGCAAAAACAAAAAATCTGAAAATCAAAAACTAGGACTTGCTTCACCATTTCTGCTCAGCAGGCTCCTACTTATTCTTTCATTCTTTCAGGAACACCCAAGCCCAGGGCAAACCTCCTTCGGAAATTCAGCTCTCTGGCAGTACCCTCGCAAGGCTTCTCTAAGCTGTCTGTCTCTCTGAGTAGCAACCAGCCTGGCGTCAACTTTCCATAAATGCTTGCTGAATAATGAAAATGTGGTATTGGGCAAATGCTTTCTCCTCCCTGGGTCTCCATAGTCTTATCCAAAAAATGGGGATAGTGATAAGAGCTAAGAGTGGAACTCAGGGGACTCTGGGCCTAGGGTGGACAGGAAGGTGAGAAAGGAGGGGACCGGGAGGGAACAGGGTGGGGGAAAGCTGCCAGGAGTAGGAGGAGGCCTGCCCAAGGTCAGCTGTGGTGGGAGATGTTGTGGGTGGTGAGAGGAGGCTGCGCACTGGTTTTCTTATAGAGCCTCACTTGCAATCACCTGTAACTAGCACAAAAGGAATTAGCTTTGGCCAATGGTGGCCAGGGGCAAATGTGGGAGGATTTTCCTGTCACTGGGCTTGCTCTGGCAAAGGCTGAATGGGTGGTAGGAGTGAGGGTACAGGGATATACCTGGAGGGGGAGAGGGGGTTGGGGTAAGGGTGGGCTCCATGATCCTTGAGTCCCTCTCAACCCCCTTGGCTGTCTGTGTGCAGATGGGGATAGCATCTCCATCCCACTGGGATGGGCTTAAAGCCACCTTGGTTCCCAGGCTGCAGAGACAACTGGGGTGTTGGGGTAAGGGAGCAGAGCCAGCCCAGGCCCCACAGGAGGCCTCCCAGGGTACCTCAGGGCCCCATCTCCTGGTACAGCAGAAGATGGGAACAATGAGAATAGCTCATGTAGGGATTCTTTTTGGAGTGAGGGCTCCTGTGTCTGGCTGTGTCCAGCATGTTGGCCCTGCCCAACCCTGGGCTTCCACAGAGACATCTCAGAGAGCTGTGCCCGGAAGCCCTCACTG